ACCCGCGGGGGTGGGGGGGGGGGGTGTACTCATAGTCGTGCATGCCGTAGTCATTTGACCATTGACCTCGCATCCCTACAAAGCCGGGACGGAGCACGCCGGGTTCTCACCGGACCAGGCTCTCACATCACCAAGCGCGAAGCGCCGTGAGGTATTTGGCGAGTCGCATGAAGGGTGAGCTGCATCCTGCTAAGGGTGTTCGGCATCTTGTGCTTACTTCCTTGCGTACGGATGACAGCTACGTATGACTTAATTTATTTTCTGGTGCTTTCACTTCCAGAGACAGTTGTAAGCACTGTGTAACTGCCTCGAGGATGCCTGACCATTTTAACACAAAGGGGGGGAGGGGGGGGGGCAATCAAAAGCATCGTTGACGATGCCCGTACTGAGAAAAAATTAACGCCGGCGGCAAAAAAAAGAAAGGACAAGACAGGTCGGAGGGTGTACCAACGATTTCTAAAAGACGACCAGGATGCGGCAGAACAGCGCCCCAACACATGCACAACGCTACAGCACACCGGATGCGATCTACCTAGAAAGCCACACAATTCTGAAGCTTAGCTTCAGTCTCATATTTCAATATCCGTGGGTGGAACTTTTATTCGCATAGCCCACCCCTTGCCCGACCCTGTCTCAAATGCCGATCTCGAGCTACAGTGTAAATCTCGTGGTGCCCGAAGTATGGTTCGGTAGGCAATCGCAAACCATTTCCCCTCCCCGAGTTTCAGCAGCTTCCACCTGCTGTGGCCGACAGGACTTGGCCTGGACTGTTCCTTGTCTGTGTCGCCATGGGAACGGCCGGTTGCACAGCGAAAGAGGGTCCTGCGTGGTGCGCGCCACAATCTTTTTTTTTTTGTGATTTTCTTCGTGAGTGACAATGCGGCTGTTGTTGCTGAGTTGCTTCAGTCTCTGTGGCTTTGAGCTGCACGCGTTGCTCGCGTAGGCCTTGCTCGCGCTGTAGGCGATGCGCGTCACCTACTTTTCGCCTGTTGCAACAGCAGCACAACAGTTGAAGAGACAGACAACAGCAGGCCTTTTTTTCTGTTGCTGCATATGCATGGGTGGTATGCATCGCACAGTAAAAGCGGCATATGCATGTGGTGTGGAATACACCGTATAAGCGTGTTTCCTTTTTGGTGTCACTGCGTAGTCAGTCGTAACTTGAGCCATAAGGTAGATGGCAGCACAATCTTATTTACAAAGGTGAGGTGTGTGGCAACGGACAGTTCCCACCTTCGTGCAGCGGTGCACATCTATCGCGGACGGACTTGATACTACTGCTGTAGTTCGTCCGTGTACAGCAGTGGTCATGTTCGTTTTTGTTCTCACTTCGTCACACGAGATGAAAGTCCGCACTGCATCTGTTATTTGGTTGTGTTGCTGAGCCCACATCGGATACCGCCGTCCGTTACACATGTCTGACAACCTGCGGTGGGCCAAAGGGACCAGAGTAAGTGGGTGTATTTTCGAGAGTGGATCCCTTGTCTGCTCTCCGCTCTCTTCTTTGTTGTCTACCTACAGTACCTGTCTCTCTCTCGCCTTTTCGCCGGTTGGTGGGGTCCCAACAACATCGAACTACGTCAACCGCAGGTGGTTTCGCTTCTTGCTCAGTAGTAAGAGCCTTTTGCACTCGGCTGCTGCATGTGAGGCGATTTGCGCTACCTGTTTATGTCAAGCGATGGACTTGGGCCCTACCTAATACTGGCCACGCAGTGCTAAGTGACATCTTGCAACGGCCCAGAGCGAGTAACGAACAGGTTGGTTGGGTTTTCCATGCTTATTTTGCCTCCTCCCCCAAGCCTGTCGCGCCTGGCTCACTACTTGTTGTCTTGGTCTTTTTCGTTTTTCATGCTTTCTTTGTTTTTTGGGGTCCCCCAGCCACCCGCCCACCCATCATTGCATTGTTATTTTTGGTGGAAGGGGTGTGACTTGCCGTATTCATGAACGACTGGGCCCCGCACTTTTTACTCGCACCCCGTTCATTGTCAACACAATAACACCATATATATATCCTCTCATTTCTCAGCACATCAGTCTTCTTGTACAATGCCCACCAACACGTCAAAGGCTTGCGGAATTATGGTAGACAAACACGAGAATTGCAACAACAGCAGTACAGCAGTTGAAGAGACAGACAACCTCAGGCCTTTTTTTCTGTTCCTGCATATATATGCATGGTTGATATGCATCGCGCAGTATAATAAGCGGCATATGCATGTGGTGTGGAATACATCGTATAAGCGTGTTGCCTTTTTGGAGTCATTGCGTAGTCAGTCGTAACTTGAGCCATAAGGTAGATGGCAGCACAATTAATTTTATTCTGAAGCTTTAGCTTAAGTCTCATCGTTCGACGGCACGCCTCGGCCTTGACTAATCCTTGTCTGTTTCGCCATGGGAACGGCCGGTTGAACAACGAAAGAGGGTCCTGCGTGCTGCGCGCCACCATCTTTTATTTGTTGCGTTTGTTTGTGATTTTCTTCCTGATGAGTGACCGTTTGACACGTGCGGTTGCTGCTGTTATTATCCTCGGAATATGCTGCAAAGGTCGTATCGTCTCTGTCGCAGCTGTACGCTGTGCTCGCGTGGGAGATGCGAATTCCTTAGTTTTTTCTCTACTGTGTCGATATCGATGAAGAAAAGCAACGGCAGCACGGTTGAAGATACAGCCAACAACAGACGGTCCGCCTTAGTTTTTTTTCTATCCTCTTGCTGCATAGTCTATGCATGATGGGTGGTAAAGCATCGTAAGCGTGTTGCACCTTGATTGAGTCTGCTGCGTAGTCGTAATTTGAGCGATAAGGCAGATGGCAGCACAATCTTATTGACGTAGTGAGGTATGATAACCAACAGTCTGGTCGTTCGTGCAGCGGTGCGCATCTATCGCGACGGCAAGCGTATTGAGATAACATTATAGTTCGTCCGTGGTGCGTCTAGACTGATGATGTAGTCATGTTCATTTTTTGTTTTGCCAGACTTCAAACCACAAAGGAAAGAAAGTCTCCACAGTTCGGAAACGGCGACTATGTTTTGTTTGTTTTATTTGTTGTGTTTGTTGTTGCTGAGCGCACATCGGATGTCGCCGTTCGTTACACGTGTTTTACAGCCTTCGGTGGGCCACAGGGACGAGAGTGAGTGAGTGTCTTCTCGAGAGTCTATTCATGCCTTCTCTACGCTTTTTCTGTTGGTATACTACCTGTCTCTCTCTCGCCTGTCGCCGTTGGGGTCCCAATAACATCGAACGTCAACCGCGATCGTTTTGTTTCTTGCTGAGTTAGGCTACCCGTGTACCCGGCTGCTGCATGTGAGGCGATGGGCGCTGCCTCTTTACGTGAAAAACAATGGGCATGGCCCCTACTGTTTGCTGCATGCAGTGCTGCTGTGTGACAGCTTCCAGCGGTTCAGAGCGGCGACGGTGGCTTTTCTATGCTCTCTTTCGCCACCTCCCGGAAGCCTGTCGCGTCTTGCTCACTTGTCTTTGTTCTCCCTTCTTTCTACTTTTGTTTTTGTTTTTCATGCTTTGCTTTTTGGGGTCCGCCGGTCACCCACCCACCCATTATTTCAGTTCAAATTTTTGGTGTTAACTTGCCATGTCTATAAAAAAACTGGGCGCACGTTTCGAAATTCTGAAGCTTTTCTGAAGTCTCATTGTTCGATATCCGTTCGGCGGAGAACCGCAAATAGATCTTGACCCGTCCCCGAGCGTGAGCAGCTTCACTGGTATTCGGCCTCCTGTAGCCGGCAAGAGTCGACCTTCACCGTACCTTGTCTGTTTCGCCATGGGAATGGCCGGTTGAACAGCGAAAGAGGGTCCTGCGTGCTGCGCGCCACAACCTTTGTTTTTTTTGTGATTTTCTTCCTGAGTGACCGTTGTACACAACATGCGGCTGGTACTGCAGTATATGCATGCCCGGAATGTGCTGCAAACGTCGTAAAGTTTTTGTCTCTGTCGTTTGGGCTGCACCCGTTGCTCGCGTCTGCTCGTTATCCATGAAGAGCAACGGCAGCACAGTTGAACCGACAAACAACAACAGACGGTCCGCCTTAGTTTCTTGTGTGTGTTTTGCTGCGCGGCATGGGTGGTATGCATCGGTAAGCGTGTTGCTGGCTTACCTAGTCTGCTGCGTAGTCGTAATTTGAGCGATAAGGTAGGCAGGACAATCGTATTCACGTAGTGAGGTATGATGACCAACAGTCAGTCTGCTCGTTCGTGCAGCGGTGCGCATCTATCGCGGACGGCAAGCGCATTGAGATGATGGTTCGTCCGTGGTGCTACAATCATGTTCTTTTTAGTTCTCACTTCCTACCACAAAAGATAGTCCACAGTTCGCAAACGGCGGCTATATTTGTTTGTTGTGTTGTTTGTTGTTGCTGAGCCCACATCAGATATCGCCGTTCGAGACACATCATGTCTGACAGCCTGCGGTGGACCAGACGGACGAGAGTGAGTGTCTTCTCGAGAGTTAATGCCTTGTCTTCTCTCCGATCTCCTCTTTTAGTCTACATCTCTCTCTCTTTCGCCTTTCGCCGGTGGGGTCCCAACAACATCGAACGTCAACCACAGTCGTTTTGCTTCTCGCTGCTGCTGCTGCATGTGAAGCGATGGGCGCTGCATCTTCATGTCAAGCAATGGACTTGGGCCCTAGCTAATGTTTGCTGCATATTATGCAGTGCTATGTGAGAGCTTCCAGCAGTTCAGCGCGAGCAGCGACGGTGGTTTTTCCGTGCTTTCTTTTGCCTCCTCCCTGAAGCCTGTCGCGTCTGGCTCTCTTCTTCTCGCTTCTTTCTTTTTTATGTTTGTTCATGCTTTGTTTTTTGTTTTTGGGGTCCCCCGGTTCCTGTGTGTTCATCGGGCGTCTTTTTGGTGTCTACCTTGATTGTTACCCGCTGAAAAATCGACAGCTTCAGACAGGCAACGCGACGATACTCGTCGAGTTGCCATACACAATGTCCTTCTTGTGCTTCTTGCGGTACGCGAAGCTCGTGGTGAGCTGCCGCTTGCGCACCGCGTGCCCTGCCTCCACTTGAGGCCGGCCGTTGACGTCCTTCGTCCCAACAGATCCAGAGTCCGCCTCCGGCTCCGTCACCGATGTGGTCCCCACCCCGGCACTGCTGACCCAGTTCGTGTTCTCCACCAGCTGGTCCATGCCGTCGAAGGTGTGCAGCATGTTGTGCAAGATGCAGCACGTGAAAAACACGTTGTCGATGCGCTCCTGGCTCTGGAACGCCATGGCGAGCATGAGGATCCTCAAGCGACCCTTCAGGATGCCGAAGAAGCACTCGACATCCTTCCGCACGCTCTCCAGCCTCTTCGAAAAGAGCAGGTCGTTCTCGCTCAGCGGGTACTTGGAGGGCTCGATCAGGATTTGCCACTGGAAAAACGCGAGAGGGAAAAGGGGAGTACGGGTTTGGTTCTATGTTGTTAAAAGCTGTGAAATTTACACTCGGAGACTCAAGCGGGGGCTTCGAGGTTGGAGGGAGGCGCTCGAAAAATAACAGCAGCCACCCATGAAACACCGGAGTAGACTGCAAGAGTGTGCAGCCGAGGTTTTCATTTCCGTATCCGACATGTCAATACCATGAACGATTTGCGTCGAAACTGTCCGAAACTAGCTGCTCCGTCATTTTCCCCGACAACAAAGACGTTGCTCGCCAGCGCTCTCTCTTTCTCTGTCTATCTGTCTCAGGCCGGACACATGTCTCTTCCAAAACAATATTTTGGCAACTCAACCACACGGTAATTCAAATACATCCACCTTGTGGTACCCGTTGTCGACGAGCACGTAGCACCCCTTGAGCGTCGTCGTCGTACCATCCTGGTTGTACACGTCGAACGTCTTCTCCGTGTACTGCTTGTCCGTCCGAATCTTCTCCACCGCGGCATCCCAGCAGACGGTGGTCTTGTCGTTCGTCGAGCCGGTGAAGCCCTCGGTCACGGCAATAGCCCGGCCAGCGTGATCAACGGTGACCTGGTACCCGATCGTGGGAAACCCCTCCTTGCCAGTGTACGAACGGGCTTGGTTGTAGGGGCACCTGCTCCAAGCGATGTGTGTGACGTCCATAGAACCCATCGCACCCGTAAACCCAAGCCGGTCGTACTGCTCTATGACGAGGTCCAGCTTGCCGCTCTCTTCCGTAGGGAGGTGGATGTGTTCATCGTACATCTCCCGTGCGAAGTGCTTGAGAACTTGTGGAACATCGCCTGCACGGTCTTCGCGCTCATCCACGACATCTGGTAGATGCTTGCAAAGCAGTTGCCCCTGCCCAGTATAGTCAGCCAGGCCAGCACCTGCAGCACCAAGTCACCAACGCATGTACACACGGGGTACAAGCAGTAGAGTGTCAATGTGCTGCTGTTGTCCGCGTGGAAGCATCTCACGGGCTGGAGGGCTGAGTGTTGCGCTGTACATACGACAACAAACAAACAATTGTACGAACTGATTCGAATACTCCTCTCCGGCCATTTTATCTCGGCATCTCGACCCAACGTACAAGATCTTCGGCCTGCGTACAGTAGGCGCAGTCTACAGCAGCTGCTGTTAGCTATATCCAGCAAACAGCAGTCTGTACCAACGAGGTGCGAACGCTACTTTTGTAGGTACAGCACAGGTGGAGGTCGAACCCCCTTGGGGACTTTTCGGCAAGGGGGGGGGGGGGTCATCGGCAAGGTCGAGCCCCTGAAGAGTCCGGTGGGTTGTCCAACCTCCGTCCCTTCACCAACCTTGGCAACCCCTGACAGAAGAACGGTTTGGCAAACTCATTGCCTAGGATGTGCTTGCCAAGCTCGTTCGCGTACGTGAGATTGGCAAGGCTAGTTATAGCCAGCGTGCGATTGGCGATTGGCAAGGTCGTTTGCGAACTTGAGATTGGCAAGGCTAGTGCGGGAACGTGTGATTGGCAAGGCTCATTGCCAACGATGTGCTTGGCAAGGTCGTTTTCGAACTTGAGATTGGCAAGGCTAGTTATAGCCAGCGTGCGATTGGCGATTGGCAAGGTCGTTTTCGAACTTGAGATTGGCAACGCTAGTTCGGGAACGTGTGATTGGCAAGGCTCATTGCCTACGATGTGCTTGCCAAGCTTGTTCGCGAACATGAGATTGGCAAGGCTAGTTCGCGAGCGTGCGATTGGCGATTGGCAAGCTTGTTCGCGAAAGTGGGATTGCAAGCTCGACCCGGATATTGGCAAGGCTCATTGCCTACGATGTGTTTGGCAAGGCTAGTTCGCGAGCGTGAGATTGCCAAGGTGCTCTGAGCACTGCGACTGGCAGGCTCGGTGAATGTACGAGATAGTTAGCCAGTCACGTTCGTTCGCTAAGGCCGACAACGCGAAGGTCGTACCCGCCCCCGCCCCCGGCACCTCACAGCCGTCGTGGTCGAGGACAGTAAGAGATGGATATAGAGTTCTTCCTTTTCCCGCGAATCCACACATACATGCTTGTAAATTACAAAAAAAGCGACAGCGACTCTTCTCGATGCAGTATGTGCCTCTCTACAGTAGACCGACGCACAGCGCGCAAGGTATATCGGCAAAAAGGCAACAAACTCATGCAGTAATAGAAACATACCCGCAAGTACAATGGAGTCCGTAGCGGAAATGCGCGCTCAACTCCCCCCATGGCAAAAAAAAAAACGCGACACATGAGTCATCATCGCCACCCTCCACCCTCTCCAGATGACAGGCTACAACACGAAGCGCCACCACATGTAACTCACAAGAGTAGACACCATAAAACCAAGAGAATGGTCGCTACAAGAGACACAGCATATGCCACAAAACGCACACCGAGATATCACCATAACCCGCCTTCTCACTCTCTCCATCACAAGACAAGCAAAAACAACCGACACAATCGAACACCCGCAGACCACAACACTAGAAACGTCCCCGCGCGCAGGGCCACAAGAAGAGACACCCCTCTCTACTTCTACGCGCAGCCTATGTACCGTCCTCGAGGAACTCAATATTTTACACGTGCATATACATGATTCGGATAATTGAAAAACACCCCGCGAGCTTTCTTTGGTCGAACCCGGCAAGGGTCAGACCACCAGATAGCAACAAACACGTGGATAAGACGATACAAAGTCCTTGGCGAGAGGAAAGTCCGCGGCTTCGCGCACCTCCTCCGTCAGCCACGACTAAAACACCACAGAAAGAAGAGTAACCACCCTCTCTACGACAGTCCAGATGCAAAAACTAAGACAATGTACCACAACAACAACGGTACCAAACCCTGTGCCATTCGACCGGCACCGTCCGCCGTGCAACGTCGACGACCTCGCATTATTTTACAAATGAACAGGATGCACACGCATCCCTTGAGCCTCTCTCGACAAACACATGATCACCCGTAGTTTTACAGAACCCCCGCCCGCGCTAACAAAAAAAAAACACAGCACCGTCTGCAGTCACAGACAAAAATACGAAACCAAAATTTAAAGACACACACGTCGACAACAACAACGGAACAAGACCGTCTTTTTCTACGCGCAGAGTACCCTACCATTCGACTAGTGTACCGTCCGCCCTGCAGCGTCGATGACCTCACACTATTGTACACATGAGGATATGTACACGACGAGGTGATCTCATAATTTACATGATCATCCGCAAGTTTACAAAAATCCGTGCCCCCACGACTAAAATAAAAAAATGCAGCAAGAGTCGTCACTTCTCCCATCACGGGAAAAAACGAAACAAAAATGCCTTCTGTTGGCAGTGCGCGCAAAAGAAAGCTAGACACACGCCAAACCAAACCACAGCGACTCGCCTCCGAAGAGACATGGTCGGTCGATGGTGCCACCTTGCGGCCTCCCACCTGCGTTCACTTTCGCCGCGCACGGGGGGTTCTGAACAGGCTGTGGTACACGCCAAGAGGGCACAGCTTCTATCCAGAAGCCTCTCCTGCTGCTCCTGCCCCTCCGGCAGCTGCTCCCGTCGCCGCCCCTTGAGCAGCTCATCCAGCCGCGGCCGACGCCGGGCTCGAAACCGTCAGGAACGGCTTGAAGAAAATGTCCGCGTCTGCTTTGGACGTAATGTTGTCCGGCGTCAGCTTCTTGTCTTTGGAGATCTTGGACACGCAATTGCCCAAAATGTGCGCACCCTGCAAGAAAGGGAAATGGGCGCGAGCCGAGAGAGAACAGGAGGCGACGCTCAGCCCGTGTCCCGAGGGCGATTGCAAAGCCCCCAAAACGTCCACAGTCATCAGACACCGGTAGAAAATGCATGGTCCAAAGCCTTCACACATAGGACAGATCAGATCCACGCAGATCGAGCTAAATAGCTCTTTTGTTGAGGGTTATGATACGTCCCTGTTGATCGTTAGGGCATACTCCGAGTAGGTGTTCGGTGTAAGTTTCCCCGAGGTGATCTGAAGGACATAGGGAACCGGGCCCATACGTAGGGCATTTTTACGTTGGACAGGAAGACACAAATAAAAATCATCGATGTTTGAGAGGGGTGGAGGCGAGTTGTTACCCGCGCTCTCCCACCAATCACATGTCGATAATGTAGGACAGAGATATGTGTAGAATATTGACTGGTTGTTTCACGCCGCCGAGCGGGAATCCCCTGAAAGACGTAGCACAGCAACAGAAGCGGCAGCAGCAGCACATACATGATGACACGCACACACACGTAGACAACACACGAGACAACAAGCACAGCAGCACACGAGACTGCTGTAGGCCAAGGCCAGCCAAAGGTACACATCATAGGAGGCTTCGGGTGCGAGACTGTCAGAGCCCGTCGCCTGCTGCTGGCAGCGTAAAAGCGAGGGAAAAGCGAGTGCACACAAGTCAGTCAATCTGCGGTCTTTCTCCGTCGACTGCCGACAGGCCAATCTTTGATCCACAACAGATGCACCCCGAAACAGCGAGACCATGACGCGTACACACTTAGGGGCCATCGGGGCGATTTTTTTAGAGCCTGTTGCATGCTGCTAGCAAAGTTAGCAAGGAAAGTAAGTAGTGCACATCCACACAGCAGCAGCAGCAGCAAGCAACAGATTTGAGAGCTTCTCGTTTACACCATCAAATAACGTCCGGCGTTCACGTCTGGCTGGTGGTGGCGGGTGAGGTGTGTGTGTGTGCAGTGGCAGTGGTGGCCTCTGTGTGGTGGCCTATATAGGCTACATCCATATCTAACTACACCTGTTTGCCTCTCTCTCTCTCTCTCCTCCCCTTCTTTTTCGCGCTCGCTTCATTATATTTCGTTGGACCCCTACGTACGGGAGGCGACCAGGACATAGGCGATCAGGGTATGTTTGCCAGAGGTGAGCTGAAGGACATAGGTGATCGTGGAATGTTGGTTCGGTGGTGACCTGAAGGACACAAGGTGAGCTAGCTCATGATCTGTCCGATGTGTGAAAGCCTAGCCTTGTGAGTGACAATAAAGTGTGCATAGATCGACCGGGTACGGCCGGGGTAGCACGTCGTCGGAGACTCTCTGTTGGTTGTCCTTGAGGAGGCAACACTACACTCACGTCTGGTTGAAGACCTGGTCGTTGGTAGTATCGAGGTACTTCCGCTTGATCTTCTTGCTCGGAGGCGCGCCGCCGTTCCTTCCTCCTCCGCACGCCGGAGTGCGGTACTTGTCCGCCCAGTCAGCTGCTCGGAGCATGGCGTTGAACCCCGGAGCCTCGTAAACATGCAGCAGTTCAGGCCCCAGCTGTCCCTCGGACCCCTGGCTCTCGTCGGGGTTCTCTTTGTTGTACTGCCGGCGGTCCTCGTCGAGGACTTCAACGAGCCAACGCACCACCTGGAACATGATGTGAGTCATTACCTAAAAGGCAGGGAAGTCGCGCGTCGGCCGAAGACGTGATTGATATCAGAGCAAGCAGAAACAAGGCGATAGGTAAGGATTGTGTAGCGTCCTGCTTGTCAGCACAAACCACTATTTACCGAACCCATTGGCTTGCTGGACCATCTGTGGGGGTACAATCGCTTTCTCGAGAGTTCACGTACAAGGGAAAGCAGCCTAGATAGAACAGGGGAAAGAGGGCTAATACAGTAGGGGTTTGCCAGGTTTGGAGGCCAATACCTTGGCTTCCTTCCTGCCTACACCTCCTTTGAGGTGAAAGAACGGAAGGTATGCGGGGCAAATTGAACAGGGGGGTACATGTACCCTTCGGGGACTGGTTTCTCTCCCTCTCTCTCGCTCGGCT